CCCCCCCATTTACTCTGCCCTGCAGAGATGAACTTAATATTTTAATATTTTTAAACACTTTTTGTTGTTAGAGACTGTCTGCCAGCACACACTTACCTGGATTTTCAGGACATTTTTGTGTTTGGGCCCTACAACAAAGATACAAAAAAATAAATTCCTTCCATTTGCAATTCTTAAATGTTTGAAGCATACTAAAATCTGTTGCGCATAAAGGTAATAGTTAGCTTTAACAGTAGAATGAAGTTTATATAGATGAGTTTAACTCTGCCCAAAATGCCAAAAACACACTACTTCATATTTCACATACAGGATCCTAATGTAAGCTAAACTGTGTTGAAAAAAATTCAAGTCAGTGAGGTCAAGCGTTTAGAAACAAGGAGACTCAGTAAATAAATTTACCAGGGGCCCCAGTCCTGAAAATAGAAACTTTCTTTACTAATTCCATTCAAGCTGCTGATAGTCAAGTTCATAAATATTTGTAGGGTTGATAAATATTTTTATGGTTTTCAATTCTAGTTTTGAACTCTAGTTAATGCAAAGGTGTAAAATCATGTTATCAGATGATGTAAAACCATGTTGTGTAGACTAGACTTAGCTTTTCACTGTATACGAATATAAATTGTTCTTTTCACATGTAACGTTCTTGCAATTTTTGCTCTTTTTCTATTGCAAGAATATTATATTCAATGATAAGTCATAAAGTATTAAGAAGTGTAACGAAGTATAGTTCTGTGAAATGTATTGATGATTTATTAATGCAATACTATGTGGCTAGGCTTTATAGCATTCCTAAAAATTAATTTACTCAGGTGGAAAATTGTATGAAATTTATATGTTACTTGGTTGCGGACATGGCAGAAGTATCTAGGGTGTTCATGGGCTCTGGCTTTGCTATTCTTAACAGATGACATTAACAAAACAGAGTTTTATTTTATATAATTTCCAGGCTGTCCCTCTGACCCAGGTATTACTGGCCAAATGGAAAACTGTCCAGAAAAGATATATCTGAAAGCTTTGAAAAAGAAAGCTGAGTTTTTTTACTTACCATTTTGGAAAGAAAGATAGCCTCCCTTCATTTCTGTTTATTTCTTGACTTAATTTACTTACAATTCTATTTAAAAGAAACACAAAAATAGTTTAAAAAAACTCCTTGAAATTTGTGAGTCATTTTCTTAGCTGCTTTCCCTTAATATATACTAAATTAAATCTGGTAATTCAGAATTATTATTTACTATGTGGTAAGAATATTGAATTTATCATCTCATTGCAAAGTTGCACTATAGCATATCCAATTGAAAACTAGACCTTTTTTTACATAGATAAAACCCCATATTGTTGGATCAAGCTTAAAAATAAACATTAAACCCAGCAAGCCTTAGAAACTTTGGGTGTGGTAGACATCAGGCACTAGAACACTGCTTTAAATAGTGGCAATTGTATTTGTATTATTTTGCATGGAAAATGCTTCAGGAAACAGCTTCTACCAAGCTTATGGTTGCAAAAACAGGGATTAAATGTACCCTATGTCTACTCTCTATTCTTTTTGTCTTCCTCCCTCCCTCCCAGTTGTATCCCAAGATATACCTAATCCAGAATCCCCCCAGTAAAGAAGGTGAAAAGGTTGATTTAGTTCCATGTTATAACACAATTGCAGGACAGGGCAGAGCAGAAATATTCATGGAACATATGAAGACTATAGCTGTACCTCTAGAGAGATTTTTCTGAGTGGATGTGTTTGTCATCACTCATGCGTAGTTTGTATACAGCAGTAGGGTGAATAACAACCAATGCAATGCAATCGAGTAAAATTTTGATCAGGAGCATGCATTTATGCTGCTAATATTGCTGGCATCCGTAGCCAGCACAGACATCTGGGACTGAGAGTTTTTATATTGACGGACTCCCTGAGAACAGCTCTGAGATTACAGGACAGTCATTACTGAGATTAACAGAATTAAGGCCACTGAGAGCAACAGAATTCTGCTCTGTTAGTAATGAAGTTTGCCTCTATGATTATTTTGTTTCACATAAAGTTTTTGTTTCAAAGAAAGCTTATGATGAGTCATAGTCTGATTCTTAATTCTCATTATTTCTTTTTGAGGAAAGTCCCACCAAGAAAGTCCTGTGACAAGCAAAGCAAATTGGTTACATACATCTAGTTAAAAATATTCCATTTTACTTCTAGCTTATATTATTTAGGTCTATTAGAGACAGTAACTGTGGAAATAAAAGTAGTATGAAAAAAATCAGGAACTCAACATGTCTGTTTCTCTCAGATTCTAAATTCTGTAAAATTGGTTTTTTTTGTTTGTTAGTGCAAAATTCTTTTCCATACATCTTAGATCTGGTCAATAAAACTTTATATCAGTATTGTAAAATCTTTTTTTATGGCTGGGCAGTTACCTCTCCATTTTGTTTTTCTTCTTCTTTCATGTCTTTTTCTGCTACTCAGCAATAATAATCCCCTAGTTTTTTCCAAATGATCTCATTTGTGCATCTCTTTCATGTCTAACTACTTTTCTGGGCTGGGACTTGAGGAAGACAAGCTTTCAAGCAATCTAATATTAAAAAAAAAAAGCCAGCAAAAACATACTATTTGTTTTTGATCCTGAACCATGCTAAAAATCTTTCTCTTATTTTGAATAGCCCTTCTCTTGCCCTTGCTACTTTCCTAATACTTACCTCACTGTAATTCAAATTAAAAGATAAATTCAGGGCATAGGGTTTCTCTGTTTGATTATGGGAAGTGCTATGGGGACAGATCAGGCTGCCAGCAAGTATCAGAGAACAAGCAATTTCAGATCAGTACGGTCGTGCTGTCTGAAAAGGATGAAGATGGATAATCTGAAGTTGAGGATATGTACTCAAGGATCCAAGTATGAAAATAGAAAGGCAGAGGAAGAATATTTTTTGGTTTTTCTTTTTTAAGACAGTACTTTGCAATTTTCTGATTTGAAGCAAATATTGTCATATGTGCCCCTTTTGAAATAAGCACGTGCACAAATGTTAATAATTTAAGAAGGATCACAGCTGTCTAAATCTGACATCGTTACCCAAGCAAATTGTATAAAACAAGAAAAATGCCAAGTTATAGACATAGGACTCCTTTTGCTCCTCTTCTTTCCCATGCAATCAACACTTCTCTGCACAAGACATTTCCTTCTGCTGCAGGTGATAAGGAAGTTGCTCTGTGAACAATAACTTCCATGTGAAACATGAGGAAATGTTCCGGGGTAAACAGCGCGCTGTGTATACCAGTGCTTTGGTGGAGAAGTGGATTACGGAACTTGTGTGTGGCTTATTCTCTGTTGTAGAAGAGGTAGAGGAAGGATCTTTCATAATATTGTGTTTATTTTCAGCTAAAGAAGTAAAATGAAGATCACTGGTTTTAGAGCTCATAATTCTTTCAGTTCAGACTTCCATGGGTATCAGTGAGACCTGAGTGTTTGGAAGGTTTCTGGACTAAACCTGGTTTGGCTGCTAAGAGGATTTACACAACTGGTTTTTGAGGAAAAACTGAAAGGAAAAAGTTGCTCATCCTATCTTGCTGCCAAAAAATGAATCATTTGCTGCTTAAAATACAGCATCTAATCTTTACTTCAAGTTTATTTGAAATGCTTCGAACCAATGGCTCAGAGAAGTTATTAGAAGAAAGCAAATTTTAGAAGGGTAACACTTTACAAGCAACATTATTACAGAAGATCGGTGCACTGAGCAGCTGAGTCTGTAGCCATGTGAGGAAGGAAGTACCAAAACCACACTGCTTTCTGGGTTGTGGGAGTGGATGATAGGAGAGGATAAGGCAACAGCACTTGCAGAAAATGTTACTCAGACTTCTCTTTCTCTTTCTATCTCCTCCACCAGATGCTTTGCTTAAAACTGGCAGGAAGTCAAAAATAAAAAAAAAGCAACCCACACAACCAACCCCCAAAGCAGTACTCCAAAACTGGCTTTTGTTCACTTAACTGCAGATATTGTTGTCATGAGTAAAATCCATTTTACCTGTATTGGAATAAAGGACTTAAGATGGGTGAGAGAGATGGAAGGCAACGTCCTCTAGGACCAGGAAGTTGCATATTGGACACTGTCAAGAGCACAGTGTGTGATGAAGTCTTTGTTTTGGCCTTTGAGAAAAGTCTGTTGGGCAGATGCAATACTATTATGTTGGCTTCAAAACTGACAATATCAGTTATGGTCTAAACCTTTCAACAATCTTTAGCATCTCATCTGAGAGAGCATGTGGGCACACATGTTCACCTCTGCCCAAGGTATACCTTTTAAGCACCATAGATTTCTTAATTTTTAGGTTTGTACTTTGACTCTCCTGAAAGTAAAATGACTTTCAGACCGTGCCACGTTTGTAGGCTCTGAATGTGTCCCATTCAGAACTCAGCACACTTACCATGTTGGAACTGGCAGATGCAATTATGTACTTTAGTGCAATGATGTTCTTTTTATTACTGGAAATTTTCACAAGGGCTATGGGATATGCCATAAGCTTTCTGACCAAGGTTGAAAATTTCAAATCTCAGGTTTGCCAGCAACCTGCCGCTGAGGATAGCCAAAGGGATCAACAGCCTGTATTAGTACCTGGACTTACTCAAAACTGAAATGTTTTCTCTCAAGATAGTAAACAATAACAGTGGCAAAGACCAATTTCAGTGTTTGGATCATGGTTCAGGTATTGACAAACCACCAACGTTATTTTGAATGAGATCTTTGCTTTTTTTTTTGTTTATTAATTCTGACCACATTAAGTAAGGCACATTCTGTTGAATGTGCTTTAAAATATTTTGCAAGACTCACATTTGTTGTCCACAAGTATAAATCTTTATGACCTTCTGTGACTGCCAATAGTGACAATGATCAATAAGAAAACTCCCTGTGTCCCTTAAGCTGTATATTGGCCTTTCGTTTCATTAGATTTACTATCAAAATATTAATTACACCCCCATGAGTAGGTCTGAGTTTCACTTAGTGCTTAAGACAGATATTCAGTGTCTGCTCTATGTAAAATATACCATATTCCTTCCCTGTTTCACCAATGTACCACTTACTCTTTCAGGATGCAGTGTGTTGTTTGTGAAGCTTCAGGTGTGTGTGTTAACCTAGTGGTACTAATATTAACTTAAATGGTTCTTTCATAAAATATAGCAAGTACAAGAGCAATATGAATGAGCTCAACAAAAAACATAACACTACAGTTTTTAACAGTTTTTCATATTGTTTCACAAATGCCAAGTGTTTGGCATAGTGTATGTTTGAAGAAGACAGGTTGCAGCTGAGCCAAGCTACTAATAACTGAACAAATTGTTAGGTGAACCATGATGCTATCTCTTACTTAGGATGACCGCTACATTCATGGTAACCCAATCTCTAAAGCTGATGGTCATGCCACGATTATTTATTTTAATTTCTCAGTGGGAAAAGGGAGAAAATGTATGTGTTAGGTATTCCTACCAATAGATTAATTGGCCCAAATGTTGCTGCTCCTTAAAGGTCTGTGGCAATGTGATAACTTTGGGATAATGGCTGAATGTATCCTGGACCATAGATTTCCACTAAATCTGTTAACAAGTGAAGCAGGGAAAACCCTTCATGGTCTGGAACCTGGAGACTGGGTTCCACCACATGTAATCATGCAGTATCAGGTCTTCAAAGATTGTTCATCAGTGCCATAGCAGACCTCTGTAGGTCACTGGAACAGATAGGCATGTATCTTTTCATAGAATAGTAACTATACTTAAATTCTTAAGATATGGTTAGTATTCGTAAAAGTAAACTTTTACCAAGTGATTTAAAGCTGATACTTTGTATCTTCAAATAGAAATGTATATATTCGGATAGAAATACTATGTGGTGACATTTGGCATTTTCTATTTAGCTTGAACAACTGACTGAAGCTCAGCATGTGTCCAAGTACTGCCTTTTGAACTGGACCTTTAAACCAGTCCAAGAATCTCTCTTCGCTTCCTCTTCCCTATGTCCACCCAGAGCAGTTCAGCTACAACACAGAACTGGCAAAGACTGAGTCACCTCCCTCTTGTCTAAAGGAAAGAGAGAAAGTGAAGCAGTGAGTGGAGCTGTACTCTGCCTTTTGCTTTGGGACCTTGTGCCTGAGCTACACCTTTGATTCTGCTGTGCACCTAAGTGGGAATGAAAGAAAGGCTTCCATGTTAAATCAAAATATAGCATTAAGCAAAGTTAATTTTCTAAACTTCTCCCTAAGCTTGCTTTAATAGCAACATAAGTGCAAGAGGTCTTACGGTTCCAAAGAGTGACAGCATCATCAATGTAAATATTCTGAATGAGAGTAAAAACTTACTTATATTTATCAGAGAAGCCCCAAACGAAGAATAGTTTCAAATCTGCAGGTTTATTTAAAGGCCTAGATACTGCAAGGAAAGGAGGGCATGTGGGTTTCTAGTCATCTGATGCTCTGTTTGGCACAGCTTTAGACATAACTCAAAGATGAGTGCAACTTTTGGTTTTGATCCTCTCAAATACTCGGTGACAAAGTTGATCTTCATTCAGTCTTCATTTTCCACCCTCCACAAGATACCATGCCCCAATAGACATATGGGATAGATTTCCTTAACCATGCCAGTAAAGATCACCGTGTGTACAAGACCTCAGTATCTCTGGCAGGTGTACAAGTTAGGTGGTGACCACAAACAAGAACGGGAATCCCTACAGAGGTAAATGGACTGTGGAGTTTGTTATGATCCCTCAAGAAGTCTCTGTGTGGCCTATGCACATGCAGGTGCAGTGAAGCCTGTGCAGACTTATTGTCCATTAACCCTTTTGCCTGCAAAACTGTAGCCAGAATAAAACTTGCAGGTCTGTCTGGATGCATCAGCCACTTCTATATGGTGCTCTTATATAGGTAAATTTTTAGCAAAGTTTTCAAAAAAGAGTTCAGCCCTTTTAATGGAGAGTTTTAAAGATTTTATGAAGTATTATAATTTTCAAAATAGTGTTTAAATCCTTTTTTGGTATTTAAAAGTAAGCCAAAAGAAGGTTCATGAAGATGTGCGCCTGTAACATGGCTGGTGGAGATTAAATTGCAAAAGAATAATTCTGTTATAATAACAGAAGATTGTGGCGGGTTTTATTAGTTTCAGGAAGTGGCCTATCATCCTTTGTAATGACAACTGTTACCTACTTAGACACTTAAAGATTCTTGTAAAAGTCACAGAATCATCCCCAAGTAATGACACAGTTATATTCAAAACTTAATCAGTAGATTTGCTCAAACCTATATATTTAGTAAAACCACATACCCAGCTCAGCAGGTCTGTGTGAATGTAGGCTGTGGTTTGCAAATCTTGTATAGCTGTAAGTGCTGGGTTCTGTTCTCGGTACATGTGGGTCAGCATAACCCCGCTAAAGTTACTGGAGAACAATCTCTCTTGTAAATGTACTTTTTATTCATCCCACTGGTCAATGCTGTAAGTGTGACACTTGCTATTTATATTAAACATTTTTGCAGAATATGCTCAGATTTTAACACTGTTGTGTATCACGTACTATAAAACCTCTTCGTACTAGGTGAAGTTTGCATTGTGATATAAAAGTAAGGAGTGAATGTGTTCTAGTAGAAGTCAACAGCACGCACTTTCCATTTTGGTGAGAGCATGGAGGTTCTGAATAATGAAAGTCTGAGTAATGAAATTAATGTTAAAAAGAATAACAGGTTCTTCTACCCATGAATTTTATTCTGTTGTTTGGTTGTTTTTTTTTTAAATGGCAACCAGTTCTCTTCCCTATTAAAGCTCTAAATTCTTGTTTAAACAGTGGCATTACATGGAGGATCCCACATCACACCAACCTTTTTCCATGTACATTCACAATACTCTCATGACTTGTTTCCCTGTTTGTAAGTGGGGAGAAAGCTGAGAACACAGGCATTAGTTCCAGAACTTTCATTCAGATTTATTAATTTACTTATTTATTCAGTTCTTCAAGTTGTGCACCAAGCTTCCCTCTTCTTTTAAAGCTCTTGATTTCAAGTTCTCTTCTTGTTGAGAAACCCACAAGATCTGACTAGAAAAGGCTGTTCACTTTCTGCTAGAGGGTTACAAGGTAAGTGGACTGTGAAAATCTGATTTTCAAAACATTTTTGAGATATCAATAGAGCAGATGAGATAGGAGTAACTCCACATTATTAGATTTCATTTTAACTGATCACCTATGACATTAGTATCTCTTGTATGTGTGTTTATTAGACCTTCCACTGACCACTTTTGACTCAAGAATTTGAAAGGAAATCACCAAAAGTTCAAAATTAGAAGTTCAGACAAGGACAACAGAAGGCAATTTCACCAAAGGACTGTTAAGGAGGGACAAATTATCAGAGAATTACAAGCAATGTGTTTTAAAGTATGGTAAGATGAGTTTTTCACAGACAATCTGGTGTAACTCTGGTCCCTCAGTCTCAGTAACCATAGTTAAATGTTGCTTTTAATTGACAGTAAGTTCAAAAATGCTGAAACATCTAGGCATCTTTTTTTATAGCACCTGGGCCCCCTTACTAACACATCATACACCACCAATCCCTATCATCGGGAAATTTATTGTGTGAAAATATAGATATGGTCTTAAGAAACATGTCATGTCTGAGGCCTTCTAGTTCAAGTCCTTGCATATCTGATCTGAACAGAGGTATCTTCCTGCCCTCAGATCTAGCCACCAGCTTACCCATGAGCGCATGAATGTGACAGACCACACAGGTATTTCAAAATTTTTCAGTATTCTTAGCTTCACCAAAACACCTTACACAAGCTCTGATGCATCAGAAAAGGTGAAGCAGACTGTATCTCCCGTAGCAAAATCAAGATATGCGTAGAGGGAGGGAGTCTGGAACTGGGAAATGAGCAACAAAGAAACAGCCATGTTGGAACAACTTGAATTCCTTTTTTTTCTCCTTACTTTCTTTAGAAGACCATGAAGAGCTCCATGTGTCCCATGGTTAGGAACCTTCTAACTTCCAGCTTAAATATGTACCAGCCAACTCATAGCAAAATAAAATCCTTCGGTTTTCACCATGAAATATTAGAAGAAGGTAATTTCTCTGTTACTCAGTATTGATTTAATGGGAATATTGTTCTTCATTTAGTAATTTCTATGAAATTATGAAAGCTATTCAGATAAATGCAAAACTTCTTCAAGGCCTAATCCACAGGAGTTAAGGAAAGATATTTAACACTGAATCAAATGCTCCAGAGTGATTTATCTTTAATGCCTACCTAAAGGAAAAGCACGTGGTGAAAATCGCTTGAACTCCTCAACTGTTGTGTACATACCTGACTTTTTTTTCCTTTGAGTTAAAGTCAATAGTTAAGAAGTGAACAGATAAATCATACTTTGAAGGTAATACTCGCAAAAAGGTTTAACCTTTGTGTAGCTGCTGTCAGTCAAAGAATTTATGGACAAGTTCTTTTGATCATCCCCCAGACAATTTTTTTGTATCGCATCATTGTGCTTAAGCAGTCATGACAACACTCCTTTTATTTTGGAACGTTCTTCTTTTTCTCTCAGTACAGTGCAATAAACAGGTTTCTAACTAATCACTTGCAAATCATTCGCCTGCTATTTCCTATGACTTTTCACTGCAGACCAGCTAAGATTATTTTTAGTGTTAAATTGGTTTAGCTTTACTTACGGCACTCTGAGTTTGGGAAATTTCTGGATATCATTTTCAGACATGTTCTGAAAAGGAAACAGATGGTATATGTCACAAAATTATCCATGGAACACCCTGTGACTTACAGAAGTTTGTATATTCAAAAATGTGGCATGAAGTTTCCTGATAGGAACATAAAGTGCATAGAAAAGCAATGCAAGATAACAGCCTGCCCATTCCACGGCTCATAAGAAAAGTGAACCCATTTTAATAAAAAATTCTCTCTATATTGTTTTTGTTTTGCTGGATGTTGGGTTTTACTTTATGTTGCTGCCAGTTGTTTTAAACTAGGTAGGAGGTTAATAAATATCATGTGTATTTGTTTACACACAAAAGACTTCAGCAAAATAATCACATCTAACTTCATAGAGAAGTATTTCTGTAGCTAGAATGTTTTAATGATAGCTCGTTAAAAAGATCTGTAAGGAGAAAGTAAAATCTTAAACCAGCTTTTATCAGATGAGAGTTGGGCAAATTTGTTTGTTTACCAGCAGATGAGCCATTCTTCCAGGACTAATATAAAATCAATGGGACCCTGTGCAAAGTTGAAGTCATTTGCTTTTCTGATTTGGGTTCTAATCCAGCTCTTTATTGGTCACATTGACTTATAGGCAAGGTTAAAATCCATCCCTGCTCTGCTTCTCAGAAGAACTGGAAATAAAACCTCTTCTGCAACAGCTTCCTCCCTAGACATTGTCAGAGATACTTAAGCTAAAGCAGGTGAACAGACAGTAAACCAAAAAATTCCAGAACTATTTTTAAATCTTCTAATTTTTTTTTCTCTTTTCTTTCTCTTGCTTGCTGGATATTGCTTTTCATTGTACATTGCCATCACCTAGCATACAGGAAAACATAGTCTTTATGTATTTATTATTAAAGAAGTCTTGTGATACTATAATTCATCTCAGTGGACAGTGTCTAACAATTAATAGAGAACTACATCCTGGTAACATCCTGTGCTACTGATTACAGGTGTGAGCTCAACAGAACATGCATGGTCTGCTTGAAATCATCATCAGTGGCATTCTTCCTGGCAATTTTGGAATTATGCTTCTCACAGTAAATATAAAAGGACAGAATATTTCAAATGCTTTTTTAAACACTTGTAGTTTTAAAGCAATGTGCAATGAAATGCCCTTTGTAAAGAGCTGTTCCTGTAGGCAAGCCAAACTTCTACCATAGATTCTGATTTTATGCTATTTTGCTTCACATCTTTTTAGTACAGCTAAAAAATATGGTACTTAAGGGACTTCAGAAGCTAGATGTATTGAATTCCTTCATGTCTGCATGGTGAAATCAGGCAAAGTTGTGCATGATTGCAAAGGTTCCGTGTAAAACTGTAAATTTTAGAATAGAACAGTTTGCTGGAGTAGAGGAGAGTTTTGTGCTAAGAACCTTCTCTGAAACATCACAGTATATGTAAAATCACATGTTCTAGTGGAGATGTAGCTGGAAAACTCCTTGGACTTAAGAGCAGCCTTGGCAGCATAACAAAAATCTTTCTAGAAACTGGGATGGGGAGGAGAGTGTTTCTTCCCCCCTCAATGGTAGTATAGCAATGAGATTGCAGATTACTCCTGACCTGAGCTGAGATGGTCTGCCTTGAGAGCTTTACGGATGCTCCTGCAGAGAGAGTTGGCCCCTCTCTTCTTCCACCATGTGCAACTCCAAGTTTAGGACAAATTAGTGCCTTTTGAGAAAGTGTTTTGTTTAGTTAATCACAAGCTTCGCAAACCCTCTTTGGAACATGGATGATAGTCTGGCTCTTTCTGTCTTACTGCCAACAGTAAGAAGTTTCTAATTACGCATTGTTTCACAATGCTAACAATGATTTTCAGAACAGAACAAATCCTCCCTGTGTTTTCCAGCACTATTTTGCCTCTGGGAGTACTCACAGGAGTAAAACACAGAAAAATGTACTCCCTTTATGGAAATGTCCTGCAGGATTTATTGAAGAATCGTAACTTTTCCTAAAGACTTTTTAAGCTTCTCTCTGGAATTCTATCCTGGTGATAAACCTGACAAGTATTATGGGTTTAAACTCTCATAAAAGGGCCATGTTGCCACTTTAAATATTAGAGGATTTTATTAGAATAAGTTACATGGAATCCCACTGGTTTTATTCTTGCTACATCTCAACTGGACTTTCCTTGTGGTAGCCAGTAGATACAGAAATGTGACTTTGAAACTAGGATGTTATTCTGATGAATAAGACAGCAATGTTTTTACAGTCAGGTTTACCATATAGATCTGACAATAGATACAAAACCTGCAAACACTCAGTCTTAACAGTTTCTTCTGTGCAAATGTAATTTGGCAGTTAAACTACAAAATGTAAAAAGATATTTCTTAGAAAAACCAATCATATGGAGAAGCAATTTTTTTCAAGATTGCATTGTACTCTAGAATATTCCACTTAAAGTCTCCTTTTGTTGTTCTGTTTAACAGGTGAACCTTTTTTGCATTATACAATTGGCAAGTAGGTCAAAAGCTTAAAAAAAAAGTCTCGGCAGACGTGAGCATCTGCTTGCTTACTTAATAGAAAAACCTCCTTTGAATCTACTAGGATGCTTCTGAAGAAGTGCTGCACTCTGAGCTATGTATTTACAGAAACACTCTGGAAATAATAAAAAATTACAAAAGTCACTTAGGAATCACACAGTTATTGCTCGTTATTTGTACCTCACAAACTTCCAGAATTTCATAATGCTTCCAAAGCCAGAACTCCCACTCCAGCCACAGATCCTTAGTGCTTGAGCTAAGGAGAATCTCTTAGGGGTTAGTAGGATCAGTCCTATGACACACATCTGAATAATTCTGACTCCACCCAGTAGGAAGGAGGTGTAATATCCTGTTCCTACAAAAGGTGTTTGAAAATTTTTATGTCACATTTCAACAAAATGTCAAATCTTGATATATTAGGACAAGGAAATAAAAAAATAGGAAGGCTTTAGAAGGGCTATGCATAGATTTCCCCACTATGACTAATTATACAGATGATCAAGATGACTACTTTTGGGGAAAATAGAATAATTAATATTTGGAAATAAAATAGAAGTAAAATGAAGCAATAATAAAAGCCCTTACACATCTCCATGGACGTGTATTTAAGACCTGAAAACAGCAGCTACCTCAATGGAAAGTGTCAGCTTTTCTAAAGTTAAGCCAAGTTGTTGGTAAAGCCTGGAGCAATGTTGATTTAAACCCACTGAGACTTTGCTTACTAGTTTTGGTGCTCTTAAAGTTCATTGATTTTGTGTATTGCTGCCGAAGAAATCTAAGTTTAACTACAGAAGCATGAAATAGTGGTTACAATAGAAGGCCAGTCATTCTGACCAAGTCTGTGTCTTCTTTAGTAGGAGAGGACAATTAATATATGTGAGTTTTCTGTAGTTAGTATTTGCAAACAAGCACTTCCTATAAAGGAAGAGATGAATTCGAGACAAGATTTTGGTTTTATAACTTCCCTGTCAGTTTAAAAAATACTAAAATATATGCATATTAAACAACATGCTTGGGTTCCCAGCACTCCATATTTAAACCAAGGTGTCTGGCTGATTTTAGCAAAGGCATTTACTTCTCATATTTATACCTCAGTAACCATCTGCGAGCTAAGTACTTTGCATCTGCCAATGCAAAGTAAGGAGTAGTTGAAACAATCACTTGACTGGAATTTTATAGGAAGGAATTTTACAACTCTACTTACCAAAAACCTTTGTCCATTTATGCTGTGCTTTCTCACGACTTTCTCACAGTCCTTATACTTTAACTGTCAATGAAAAGAAGATGATTATTGCACCCTCAATCATAAGAATGGATTAAGACATTTAGGCATACGGCTAGCTTTGAGTAGATGCTTCAAGTTACCCTTCTGTATGCTAGAGCCTGTCTAAATGGCTCAATTTGTTCTATAAAAATGGATTTTTAAGACAAAGATTCTTCAGTGGACTTGAGGATTTTCTTCCATTTAGGAACGTGTAATTTGTCACATTTAAAAACCACCTCACAGTTGCCTGGCCCAAAGAAATATTTGGAAAATGGATCGTTGCGGTACTGACTGGGATGAACAGTTGTGGAAAACAGGAAGTACAGCAAAAACCTTAGCATCTTGGAATACTGAAGCCCCGATCCCAGTTGCTGAATTCATTGTTGTGATCGAAAAGCTTCCTCTTCTGAATGGAAATGTCGCTTGTTAATCCTGGAAATTATCTATAACATTTGGAAAGCTTTTCCACAATATTGTGTTTTACAGTAGCATCTAGGACAAGGACATGCATTTTAGAAGTTGATTGTGTACATAAGAAAAGAAAGCTCCTGGTCCCACCAGGCAAAAATTTAACAGTAAATTGGGGGATTTAGGGAAAAAAAACAAACCCAAAGCCAAAAAACTAGCCACATTTAGCAAGACGTGACTCTTAAATATTTCCAGTGGGTGTCTTAAGGTTTTTTTTTTTATTTGAACGATAATAGCATAATGTGAGAACACAGGTTATATTTTTGATCTGGCTAGAAACCATTTTTTCTGTTTCAAGTTGATCAAGCCCATACCAGAAAGAACCCAAAGAGCGGCCAGACAAAGTGACTTTTTGGAGCCTTCAAGACAGAAGAATGGCTCTGGTTCTGCCTGAAACTTTAGTCAGTGGAAGTTATGCAGACAAATGATCCTGTGCTGCTGGGATAATTCCCCTAAAGCAGAGAACATCTTATAGGGAGCATTATGTCCTTTCTTAGTTCTATCCTATTTATTCATTTTAAGGAGTAATCCTGTAACTTGGTGTTATATGAGAACAGATCCTGAAAACATCTGAAAGGCTGAGAGAATATTTTTAGGAGCCACCTTCAGTTACTCATATGCAGAAACAGACCTAACTCTGCTAAATATTTTAGGATATAGACTAAGACTTTTGTGCAGACTGAGGACTTAGACCTATAAATAATGTCTCTTTCATATAGCGAGTGCTATCATGGCGTTACCAGCACAAGTCTGGACGCAGCAGTGAGCAACTGCTATACTTGGTAGAACACATCAGTGTGACTGAGACCTAATGTCATTCTTAAAGTAATTGATGAAAAATACTGTTTAGCTATTAAAAATAACCCTCGGGATATTACAAATAGGAACATCTTTGCTTTTTTTAAAAGAAATTTAATGTCTTTAGAAATTATTTGAAGGTTTGGTTCTTTATTGGTCCTTCCCTATTTTGAATGCATGGTTTAAATTAACATAAACTTTAAGTTAACACACCTAGAATCATAAATTAGATGTGACTATTGTTAAGTATCAAGACTTCTTATTTGACAGAAACTGAGGACTTTATTCATGCCAGTAATACACCATAGTTTCGTTACATAAATTACTGATGTGTATGCTGGCTGAATTTTGGTAATATGAAGGTGTAAGCTAACAATGAACTGATGAAAATCTTACCACTGCCCTGTGCCATGACCAATCACTTCAGGTGAGAGAAGATTTGAATATGATTATCCTTTGAAAATCATCCCACAATTATCTCAGTTTAGGAGGAAAAAAAATTGCTTATCCCTCTTGGACTTGAATCCTGGACTTTGAACATCTGGCTGCAGGCAAAATATATTAGTCACATGCAAATAAAGCATTCCTAAGGTATAACATTCGGCCTTTTAATGATATGTGTGAGGGAAATTGTATGAGTTTATCTGGGGAGAAGATCTGGTCACTTATGGCAGTTGCCTAGAGCTGGCTGACTTAGGCTGACATTATTGTCTTACACAGATTTGTTAGGTGACTTTAAGCAGCTTTTGCCCTGAATCACCTCTCCAAAAGCAGAATGCCAAGCTTATCTCTATTCTGTGGGGTATCTGGATCAGTAGAGGGGAGGTACTCAAAAAATTAACGTAACCGGGCCCATTCAGTTATGATAGCACTTGCAGTTGATCCTTTTATCACTGTTAAGAATATCATTTTCAACTCTTTCAGGAAGTCATTTCCCTTCTTAGTCTCATGGAAACGGTGATCCAAACCACCACGCACCAGTGTTGTAATGTTTTTTGTATTTGCCTGAAGTTGCCTGTTGCTAACGATCTCATCTGTTCCATCTCCAATTCTTCGTATCGCTGTCCTGTGCCACTAACCCCTGCACCCTAAAATTAGAGGTTTGCAGGTAGTTGGCAGTTCACTTCTCTGGAGATTTGGTAGACATAGACTTTGTGTTTGATCTGCTTGTCTTTATTAGCTAGTTTTGCATTCTAGTGTCGAACTTGCCTCAACTCCACAAAGAAAGCTCTTATAGAGTTATAGGAGCTGTTGAAACAATAATTTCACATTATTTCAAAATGAAGCCCAAATGTTCCAGGTTTTACAAGTCTAGTCTGACAGCTCACTTAAAAATTAACCAGCTACGCTGGCATTGCTTGAAAATCTTCCCAAATCTTCTGACTGATCTGGATGTCAAATTCCAGGCTGACAGTTTCGGACTTTGGGAGGAACGTATTCAGTTGCAAGGAAGATGGAGCAGGCACTATTTCCGATGTGAATTGAAAAATAAGCAATTTAGAGAGAACACACAGAAATGAAATTTCAGTAAAATTGGCTCAGTTACACATTCCTGGGCAATTAGAAAGGTGTCAGCATTGCTGTGCAGAGGATATATATTGGCAGTGAATTCCTGTATTGCCTTTCAAAGTATTTCTTCAGTGTGGAAACTCCTCGGCATTGTAAAATGAAATTTATAGATTGTCACAAGTGAAAAAGATGTCAAAAGAAAGAATTTCCTAGCTAGTCCCACAAGATAACGTCAGAAAGAGTAACAGTGGCAGGAAAGAAGGGGTAGCTAGTAATCTTGAGCCATGAGTTTTGCCCAAGAAGTTTTAGAACAGGGAAGTCAAACCAAAAAGCGAAAGGTTTTTCCAGCTGAGCCTAAAAAATTTAGGAGTCCGTGTATCCACAACTGTTAAGTTCCCGGCTGGGTTCTCATGCATGTGATTAGCAAAGACATTCAGAGGCTCATTTGTGAACACCGAGCAATTTGGAAAAAAATCTCTCTTCTGAAAATCATTGAAGATGACCTAGAAAGCTTGCAATCTTCAGACATTAATGCCTTCTACAGCTGTTAATATATGTTATATCAACAATTGTTGTAGTAAAGTGTCTATTTTTTCTGAAAAGCCATGAGTTTCTCTTATACCCAATTTAAAACACACTTTCAAGATTCCTTTATAGGTTTCACTGGCCAGTTTAGCTCAGCTTCTTAATTGTCAGTGGTTTTGCTTTTAGTTTTGCAGCAAGCTTTGTCCATTATAAAAATATGTAAATTTAGCACAAACTGTTACAGTAGTTTGCTCCTCCATCATACAAAGATGAAACACAGTTAAACTTACCGTCCTAAAATATTCTGCCAAGTCATCTGGGTTCCATGTAACCACGTCTGAACGGTAGGGAATGTTTCGCAAATCCATTGTAAGTTTTCTCCCCTAGGCAGTTAGAGAACGTTCATAGCAGTGCTATCGATGAAACAGCCATCTATTCCCCATGTGTGACCACCTCCAGCGTGCCCAGTAATTCCTTGCCTAATGCCCAGCTTTTTCTGTTTAAGTCCTGTTTTTTTGTAATTCAGAACTACGTTGTTAGGACATCCAAGAGAGATACTGCTTCCTCTAATACAAAATGGTCTCTTCTCAGAAAAGTTGTCAGCTAGTCAGCCTTACCACTTCCTTTGTCTGAATATAAATAAGTAAACAAGGAAGCACAGCAAGTGTTGAAAATGTTCTGCCTGCTGCATAGAGGTAAGCTCCTATGGACCCTATTTGCTTGTAATTGCATACATAAATATTTATGTATTTACACACTCCGTACAGTAGAAAAACATCGGCATAGACATCGTTTACTGCTTCTGTGCAAGTCTAGCCCAGGCAAGCCCCCCCCCAAAGAAGAAAACGTTCACTTAAGAGAAACAACTTCAACTTACCTCACTACCTGAAGTGTCACATTATCTTTCCTTGATTTATACAACAATAAAATGTTATTGCTGGAGTTGTACATAAGGAGGTATGCATGAATTGGGGATGGAATTGCAGTCAGCATTCCTTCAAATAAGGAATCTCTCAGTGAAACTAAAAAATGGACAAGCTTAGATGAAAAATCATTAGATCGTCATTGTTTCAGTGCTCCGTTTTTCAGCTACCTCTAATGAGGCTTTTTGTGTCTGAAAAAGAATCCACGGAACCATAATATTACCACAGGGACATGATAGACTGCATCTGTCATGTATAGCCAATTCAGGCACCATCCTATCTGTCGGTCCCTTTGGGGAGACTACATTTAGTAATTCCAAATGTGCCTGTTTTTTAAAAAAAGCCAGCGTGTCCATTCTCCCTTTTCCTGATGTGGAGCTTCCTCCCAGAGTTGTGCTGGTATGAATGCTTGGGGCCACTGTTCACATCTGCTCCAGCAGACTGCACAAAAGGTGGTATTTTGTCAGCTTCCTATGTCAGTAAGAATAGATGCATACTTCTGAAGCACTGGAGAGGAAAATTTATCTTCTTTCTAATGAAATGCATCACTCTCGCTATTTCTAGTCATTGAAGACTTTCTAACCTTGGGTCTGTAATTAGCAAGTGCATTGCATACGAGTGCATGTATTTGAGATCATGCCTACAAGTCTCTACAGTATTGTATATAAGAGTTTTCCTTTTGAAATTCACAGTCTGATTTAAAGTTGCTTACGTTTTCTGGAGAAATTTTGGTAAATGATGGCAGCATGTTATTTAAAACTCTAAAACTGAACTGCTGTAACAGCTGTTCTAAAGTGTCGCATTTATCAAATACGTGATATAGCTGTGTTTTATGGGTTCTTATTTGAAATGACCTGTATGAATCATGTGGCGCATGTACTAACAGTATCACAGACATATCGTCACCTCTTCATTGTAAATCTAGGTCTGGGGATAAAATAGGACTAAATTAACTTGTGACGAAGAATTCCCAAAGAAGAAGTTGTTTTGATGGTGCATTATCAGCAGTGGTAAAGGGGAGATTACACAGCATACATCTCAGACACCCAATGACACACCAAGTCTTTCAACAGAGAAACAAGTTTCTTACAGTACAGAGGCATAATTTCTGCTATAATTTCTAATTGTTTGTTCTATTACAGTATTTCATTACCTTCTAATCTAATTTCTATCCCCAATCCAGCATAGCAGCTCTAATTTCAATTATGTTATTCCTTATTTGTACTAATAGAAACCTAATTAGTCTGGTCAAAATTTGTTCTGATGATGTTAGAGAAGAATCATAGCATCATTTATTTTGATGCTGAGATAGGAGAAAAGCAGTCACCTTTAAAGTCAATCTCCTAGTCTAGAGAGCAACTAACACAGAAATTCTAACACATTCATCTAATCATTATTATTTGTTTGGATCCTGTCTATGTCACCGTCAGAACATTACAGCTACATGCATATTTCATGCATTTTGCAAAACCCAGCTGCACATGTACTCGAGCTTTGTCTTTGTCTAGAACTTCTTTTGTAATGTGATAAACACATAGGATGTGGAGGCCAAGCGGGCCTTGCTGAGGAAACATCACTTTGTATTTTCTACAGTTGAATTTTCAGATATACTGCTGAATTAGTGTAACAATTTTAAATTGTATTTCCAACCTATGTATTTGAACATATCAATGGAAAATGTTCAACTCGCAAATAACCATGCATGAGTCACGGCCCCCAGTCCCAACCAGACTGCAGAGAGTTGTTTTGAAAAATGCTTTTAAATGTCTGTCTTTGTGGCTCAGCAATGCAGTGTGGCAAATCCCATATTCCACAAAAGGAAAATCTTGATCCTGGAAAAAAGACCCCACATTATTTCCTCACTCTTTTAATTGTTCTTCTGTTCACTTTTCCCGTATTTTCCTACTTGTTTATTATTTCTCTTTCTCCCTTCAGAGTCACTGTTGTTACCTGCAGAATTAGCACTTTCTCCTATGTGCTCCTGTTGCCTCCAGTGTCCTCCGCTCAGAGAGGCAATTTCAACACTGATGGCCACCAAGAAAGGAAATGGAGAGAGAAAAAGTCGAGTGTCCACACTTGTGCAAGCCCACATGCCAGAATCTCTAGTCAGATTTGGGTAGGAGTGTAAGGAAGGATGTCTGGGAAGCAACCACGTCTGATTTTTACGGAGGAAGCCAGAATGACTGCAGGGATAGCTTTAGGGTAGTTAAATGAACTGCAGCCAACAGACAGGGCCACAGAGAGTTCCTGGGGAAGAACGTCAAGTTTGACAGGCTACATGCAGAAATTTGGTTGATAACTAAATACATTTCAGAGGTGACAATCCTAACTGTCTGCTGGGAATGATCACGTGCTTTGAATCTTAGTATTTCAATCTTATATCGCAAGAAATGAAGACACAGTAAGTAGGCAGCATAAAATACATCTGTTCCATAGTAGAATTTGTCATATACTTAAGTTGGCAATCTTCCATGAAATGGATTTTAAGCTCTTCGATTTTCAAATGCTGAGAAACGTTGACATTACAACTATCACGTGCATTCCTTTTCCGTTGTGACCTTTTTTCCTCTTTTTAAAGAATTAGGTCTTTCATAGTTGATGCCTGCAGTGATACAACTTTCACATAAAAAATGTGTCTCTTCAAATAACAGCTGCCAGTGGTACAGTTCTTTAAGATGTAGCAATGATCTGGTGACTGATCTTTGAAAATGTGGGAGTCTAACCATCTCAGGCACCGCAGGAGGGAAATTCACGCTGCCCACATTCTGCTGCCTTCAAAAAGCCTCAATATTTTCCATTTTCTCTCACCTCTTTCTGGTGGTGTTCTGTCCTGCAGCACACTGTTTTAAGTGGAGTCAAGGGTTTACTTTGAACAGCTTTCAAAATGGCTTATTTTTCTAGAAGAACTCTGTTTACATGTCAATTTTCCTAGAGTGAAGCAAAAAAAAAATCAAACTTCATAAGAATTTAGTCTTCATGTTCATCTCAGTCCCAAAGCAAAGTGGATCTTTATGACATGTTTTTCTTTTGCCCTGCCCGTTTTTGTTTTTAAAAGACTTGGGTACTTTCTTCCTTTTGTCCTGGGAATATTTACCATTGCCAGCCTATGTTTCCTCTTTTAACATTGCATGCCTTATTCCCAAGCTGTATACCTATCTATAACACATGGAAAAAATGCTTTCATTTTCATACCCTTTAAAAATCACCACGGTATTGTTATGTATTCTTTGCTGTCTTTAATAATCACCGAGACACAGTTTCTACTCCTCAAATGTCCTTATCCATTATTTCCTTAATTCTTGTAGTCAAGTGTTAACCTTGGCTTTGCAAAGTCTGTGCAAAGCTGACAAGATCCAGAACAGACTTTGCCAGCACAGAAAAGCTCGTTTGTGGGAATGGAACTACGACTCTTCCTCACCACCTAGTGGCTAAATCACAGGCCGACACCAAACACTAACGACTGCTACTTTCAAGAACGGGGATGGACACTGAATTGCTGACGCTGTATTAATTTGATACTTGGGTTATATATATGGCACTTTAGCGGGACTAGCAGTCGAGGTAGACGCCGACCAACCTACCCGCATCTGAAATATGTGGTTTGAACAAAACTGTGTCTGAGAAACTGGCTTCAAATCCTATTCCACAAAAAAAAAAAAAAAAAAATTTCTGCATACTCTTTCTGAACTCAACCGTCAGCAATGATTTTCCTGGATGGAAAAAAATGTGCATACCTGAAGAAGCGTATTTTCCATTGCTAGTGAATTGTGTTAGTTTGAGTAGGTGGAAATATGGAATTTTGGCAGTTCCAAAATGCCTGAAATCCTAGAATACAGCCACTAGAGTGCAGCTGAACTCTATTCAGAAAACAGAAAGAATCAAATACCTATTAAGGTGCTGTAAAAAAAAGGCAAGTAGTTAGAGATATTCTAGCAAGAGTACTGTTTTTTTTTCAGGTACATATTTTGTTCCATTCTGTTAGGGCCACAAGTGGCATAATTTGTCCGGAGACACTGCAAACAAATGCAGAGGAGAACACCTAGCAGACCTTAGAAAGGGTGTCTACTGAGGAAAGACTGGAAAAAAATGTTTTGCTTAGTCTGGGAAAGGGAAGTTGGAGACGAGGGAAGGAAAAAAGGAGACAAACCTAGTGACTTTGGGTGATAGCAATCAGTTGTTCTCGTGACCTGTGGAAGGCTCTGCTAACAAGAAAAGCAGCTGCAAGCTTGAAAAGTAGGTATTGCAGATTGAAGAACTCTCCTGCCCAGTATTTGGGCTGTTCAGTGCAATTCAACAGCTCAGTTCATAAACTGCCAAACAATGCCAGCTGTGCTGTGGCTCAGAAGGAAACTAAGTGGGCCAAAAGGACATCTGGAAAGGATGTTCAGTTTTGGATATGATATTCCATTTTAGCACAGTGTCTTCCAGGTACAGAACTCTACCAACGAACACACAGGTTTTGTAATTTAATATGCAAGTTTGACAGAGACATTGGAGTTATTTAAGGTGAAGATGAAGAAAGTTAGAAAGATACCATTTAGTCTGGGGTAACTGCTCGGACCCTTTCCACCCATGCTGTCAAAAAGCACAGGTTTCCTCCCAGCAGCTCCAGACAAGACTGCTGCCAAGGGGGCAGTTGCCAAGCCCTTGGCTCTGCAGG